TCCTAGAAGTGGGCTGAACATCCTGGTAGGTTTGGCCTGTGCGAAACTCCCAGCACTAATATTTGGGGGAGGGTGTGAGGTTTCCAGGAAAACTGGTCAAATGCAGACTCACGACATTTCATTCCAGTGCCCCAGGGTTGAAGCAGAAGAGTTAGATTTAAAAAAACCAAAAACAAAAAGGCTTTATTTGAACTATTTTAGGCTTACAGAAAAGCTGCAAAATTAGTACAGGGCCTTCTCACCCGTCTCCTTAATGTCACGTCTCACCTGACGAGAACACAGTGACCCAACCAGGCCGTGGACGCTGGTCCTGCGCACTGACCGGGCTGGAAACCTCCCTCGGCTGTGCCCACGTCCTGCTGACGTCTGTCCCAGGCCCCTGCCCAGGCCCCCACAGCACACTTGGCGTGGCCTTCTCAGCCTGTCCCCTGCCCCTTGGCTGAGAAGAGGGCCGTTGTCAGCCCGTGAGAAGGTGCGGGCCTGAGCCGGCCCTCTGTGCACAGCTCTTACTGCCCTGGATTGTCCCCACGGCTCCTCGGGTCGGGTCCCGCCTCCTCAGCCGCAGTGACGTCGTGCTTTATGTGGCATGTGAGCTGAAGTCTCATTTATTTCGTGGCATCTGAGGGGCTGTGGAGACCACCATGTTTCTAAGGGTCATAGCCGTGCAGAGGGTGCTCGGAGGGGGTCACCCTCCCGAATTTCTTCCTGTAGTCAGACACGTGTGTATTGTCACGTACCTCTGTGTCACCCAAAGCGTGTCGCACTCTGCGTTTTCCTCTGCCCTTTGCGTTTCGCCTCATGGCCTGCCCCGGAGCGCACACCAGGTCTAGGGACCTTTGCGCCCGGCAACACCCCACGTGTGGACCCCCAGGTGTGTGCGGTCCCTCCCCCGCACGGGTGTTTCCGGTGTCTGCTGCGGGGGACCCGCGCTGCGCGCTCTGAGGTTGTCTGCAGACCCGCTCCGGGGGGCTGCACCTGCAAGGCGGCCTCACGGTGCCGTGCGGTTGGCTTTGTAACTCGTTCAAGCCTCCCGGACGAGAAATGACGTCTCACTGTTGTTTCTCTGACGATGAGTGTGCGTCAACATTTGTTCACACGTCTGAGAGCCATTTTTGTCTTTTTTGTGGATTGCCTTTTCGTGTTTTTTCCCTTGTTTCTCCATGGGGTTTGTGGTTCTTTGTCCCTCAGTTGTAAGAGTTCTTTATATGTTGGCTTTTCTCCTAACTTCTTCTTCAGGGTGTTCCTGACGACGCGTGCGTATCTGAATCATAGCGTTATGTGACTGACTCCATAAAAGGCTTGCCCTTTTACTGGGATTGAATTGCACGTATAAACCGACCTTAGGAGAAAACTTCTCTGTGTAAAATGCTGGGTTGTCCTGTCCAAGAACAAGGGATGCCCTCTCCTTTTGTGTTTCTGGAGTGTGTTTCAATTGCTCCTTGTAAAAGCTGTACACATTCCTTGGGAAACATTGTCCCACGTATTTGGTTTTCTTCCGTTGCTGTCGTAAATGGACTTCTCGATCGTCACGTCCTTTGTTTCTTGTGTGTGTGAAGAAAACTGTTGGCTTTGTGGCCTGCCACCTCACTCAGTTCTTTTGTTCCGTCATTAAAGTTTTACCATTGGTTCCCTGCGATTTTCCGAGCGTGCTGTCGTCTCCAAGCGGACACGGCTTTCCCTCCTTCGCTTACCCCCTCCTCTAATTCATGTTGCTGTGCGATTTCATTAGTTCGCGCCTCAAGGAGGGTGGTGAGTGATTTCAGAGACAGCGGGTGTCCTTCCCTTGCTTTTTCTGGGAACACCTCTCATACTGAACCAGAGACTGGCTTTTCACGTGGTAGTTTATGTGTTAATGAAATGTTCCTCAGCTTCTTGACATTGTTAAGAGGCTTTCTTGGTGTCTATGGAGATAATCAGATGATTCTTTACCCCTTAGATTTATTTTTATGGTGTATGATGCTATTGAACCTGTCCTGCATTCCTGGAATAAATTCCACTTTTCCTAGTATTTTTTTTAAGTTCATTTATTTATTTTCAGAGAGAGGGAACACGTGCGCGCAAGAGTGGGGAGGGGCAGGGAGAGAGGGAGAGAGAGAATCCCAAGCAGGCTCCGTGCTGTCAGCACGGAGCCCGACTCAGGGCTCAGACTCACGAACCATGAGATCATGACCTGAGCCAAGATTAAGAGATCAAGGCTTAACCGACTGAGCCACCCAGGTGCCCCTCTAGTATTTTTTTTAAAGACACATTGGGGTTTTTTTCTGTTTATAATATTTGCTTAGATTTTTTGCATTGATATTCATGAGAGATACCGGACTATTGTTTTCTTTCTTTGCACTAATCATGTTTGGCTTAAGTATCAGTGTTTACCTGCTTTGTAAAAGGGATTCAGAAGTTTTCTTTGTTTTCCATGCTCTAGAATAATTCCTAGAGCATCAGGACTATCAGGTCTTTTATGAGGTTTGGTAGAATTCCCAGTGAACTCATCTGGGTTTGGTACTTTTCGTAGGCTAGGTAATTCCTTCATAACTTTCTCTGTTTCCTCTGTCTCTGTGGTGATTGGCATGTTTACATCTCCCTCGTGGGATCAGTTTTGACGGTCTGTATTTCCTCTAGGTTTCCAGACTTATTTGCATAGAAGACTTCAAAGTGTCTCATGATTTTTTATATTCTATTTCAAAAGTTAAATTTTTTTGAATATAGTCATGTGGTTAAAAAAGGCGGGGGGCAGGGGAGAAGTTTGAGTGACCAGAAAAGACTGCCATCCTAGAATCTTTTTTTTTTAATTTTTTTTTTAACATTTATTCATTTTTGAGAGTGAGAGAGACAGAGCATGAGAGGGAGAGGGGCAGAGAGAGGCAGACACAGAATCGGAAGCAGGCTCCAGGCTCCGAGCCGTCAGCGCAGAGCCCGACGCGGGGCTTGAACTCACAGACTGTGAGATCATGACCTGAGCCACCCGGGCGCCCCTGCCATCCTAGAATCTTAAGCATGATTATTTCCAAAGCAACACGTTACAGACTACTGTTCACTCTCAGTTTTCAGAGAATAAGCCAGCGTGTGGTTTTACGAAATGCCCCTTCCGTGCTGTCGGTTGGAGAACTGCCCACCGTGAAAGTAGTTTCAGTGCTTGGGAATCACGGGAGCCCGGCGACGGGGAGGCTCTGACCATCCCTGCTGCCGGCTCACACAGCTTCCAGAGCAAATACCGGGGTGGTCCGTGCCAATACAGACGACTCGCAAAGGTAGACGTATCACATCACCATTTCATGGGGTTTCCCTCTCATCACACACAAACCCGTAGGACGCGACTGTCCCCCTATCGTTGCCCAGGCTTGAAAAGATTGTCTTGAAAGCGACGCAGAAAGGAAGCTCCCTGAAGGGGACGTTGCGGGTCTGTGGGCTCAGGTTGTGGGACGTGCCCCCTGGGTCCGCATCTGCCCCAGCCTGGCAGCGAGGGGGGCCCCGCGGTGTCGGCGCATGAAAGTCAGGGCAAGCGCGACAGCGTTCTCGTCACACTGGCTGAGGGAACCCTGGATGGTGAGTTCTCCACGTGAAGGTTGCTGCTTCCGACTTTACGTGAAGACTTATTTTTGCAAAAGTGGGCAGCACCAGACCCCGTGGAGGCGTGCTGTCCCCTCTGTGGGGAAATGACGGCCACTCAGAAATCGGGCCATCGGTGCCCCCCCCCACCCGCACACGTGCCGTTGGCACCACGGCGAGGCAACTTCACAACTGTGCACACGGCTTCTCACGGAAAGTTGAATTATGTGCGCTACGTTCTGTTTCAGGGGCAGAGCAGTGATTAATCGCTTGTTTTATAAAATTGATTTGAGAAAGAAATTACCAATTAAGAGTTGTCGTGATTGAAAAGTAAAATTAAATCATCTGGGAAATTTGCTCCCTTCCTGTTGGGGTCAGCGAGATTTGCCGTTTGTGCCTGCTGTCACTGCTGTCACTGGAGGGGGGCCCGCTTTGGTCTCCGCTGGTCCTTTATGGGGACGCGACAGAGGCCTGAGGACCAGCCTGGGGACCCCTCACTGAGGGCTCGGCAGAGACTCCCCGGGGTCGTGCAGCCAGAGTGGAGCCTGGCGGCTTGTCCGAAACAGACCCCGTGCCCTCGGATTGCAGCCCCCACCCCGGCCTGTCCGGTGCCGGGGGTGCCCGTGGGCAGAGGGCGGGAACAGGGAAACTACCGGAACCCATGGGAAGTTCAAACCGAGCTCCAACTATTTCCCCTGCTATTTCGGTGGCTCTGTCCCGGAAGCCAGGGCCAAGCCGCACCAGGGCCGTGGCGTCCGGATGGAGCGGGGGCTCGGGCCGGGACAGGGCAGGGGACTCAGTGGCTGAGGGTAGCAGCTCTCACACGTCTCCGCGGCCTTCAAGGAGCTGGGTTTCCACGTGGGTCATGTGTAGCACCACCGCCAGGCTAGAAACCGACGGGCAGAAGCGCCCTGAGGGCCGTGCCCTGGACGGGCCAAGGGTCCAGCCCCTGCCCAGATAAGGGGCTGCACAGGTTCTCACCGCGGGTGAGAGGTGCTCAGGGCGGACTTGGGAAATGCTAGAAGGAGTGTCAGCCACTCCCTCCAGGACTGCGTTTCCTGCAAGCTGCGGGCCCGGAAAGCACCGGCGAGCAGATGGGCGACTCCCCTGCCCACCCGTCCGCTGCCCGCTGCTCACAGCGCTCGCTTGGAGTGTGGTGGGCGGAGGGAAGTCTCTCTTCTCTGGACTCCACAAGCAAAAATACTCCCATAAATAGCTGCTTCAGAGGAAAAATGAAGTTGACAGTACATTTGCATACAAGTGTGCTAATTATAATCCTCTTACCTATACGCTGAAACAGATTTAGCAGTTACAATTGGACTGGAGCAGCTCGTCTTCTCAAAAATAGGCACCGGGCAGAGAGGGGTGTGTTAGGCACATACGAGGGCGTGTGTGTCTGTCTTTGCAGACTAATGGGACCGCGGGTGGGGGGGCCCAGGCTGCCCCTCACGGGTCTCGTGGGGCCCCGCGGTATGGCTGACCCGGAGGGGACGTGGTGCACACCTGGGGTCGGCTGGACCGGGGACACCGAAGCAGGGGGAGCAGGCGCCCCGGTTACAGCGACTTGTGTTCCAGCAGCTTCATCGATGCAGGGGCGGCTGGTTCTCGGGGGGAAGGAAGGAGACGCTCTGGGCGCGTAGGATGTGGTGAGCACTGGCGGTGCCCAGACGTCCGGGAGGAGGTCAGAAGCCACCAGGTGCAGAGAGAGAGGTGAGGAGCCAGGACCCGGCTTCTCTGTCCTAACCGCATGCCGGTCCATATGACCTTGGGTGGAACGCACAGGGCCGGGGGGGCCCAGGCCGAGCCACTATTATGTGTGTGCTGATGTAGATTATATCCGAGGAGATGGGTTGTGGTCGTCACATTCTCTGACAAGTTCATGACCCAACCACGGTCAAGAAGCCGTGCCCTAAAGGGGGATTTGATGTGTCGTTTCAGGGACCTGAGAAGCACTGGCAGGGGTCTGATGAGATGGCAGCATTTGCAAAGGGCCGCCTGGGATGAGCCCCCGCACGGGGAAGCCGACAGGAGGTAAGAAGCGTGCCTGTCCCCAACGTCCCACTCCCGAGAAAACTGGGAGGCTGATCTTTTCGGTGAAACCATCTCATTTAAAGAACCTTACCATACGATGCCACAAACGCACTGATTTCCTCAGAGGTTAGGTGAGGGATAGGAAGGAGCCAGCCCATGACCTGTGTCCTGAGCTAGGCCACTTTGCACACCTGTCCCCTCAGGATGGCTCCCCGGAGCCCAGGGCTACTCGGGAAGGCCGGCAGGAGGCGGTCAAGGGTGCCAGCTTGAGTTTTAACTGCAGAGCGGGATGGACTGGGATCCCCCAGAGAGCCTGTGTCCGCTGTCCCCCAGCCCCATCCTTTGTCCTGTGAGTCCCCGAGGCTCCGGCCTTCCCCATCCCCCACAGGACTGTTTATTCTTCCAGCCCCTCCCAAGATCCCAGACTGAAGGCTTGAAGGGGATTTGGGGTGCTCACCACCCGGAGAAGGGATGATGTCATAGCTCACAACCAGCTCCGTGCCAACCTGCCTCACCTGCCCCCCGGGGGTCCCTCACCTACACCCCCTCCCTCACCTGCCCCCCGGGGTCCCTCACCTACACCCCCTCCCTCACCTGCCCCCCAGGGTTCCTCACCTACACCCCCAGGGTTCCTCACCTGTCCCCCGGGGTCCCTCACCTACACCCCCAGGGTCCCTCACCTGTCCCCCGGGGTCCCTCACCTACACTCCCTCCCTCACCTGCTCCCCGGAGTCCCTCACCTACACCCCCTCCC